GTGGGGGGGGGGGGAGTATTGCCACCATGGTAGGTCCTTTATATACAGATGATTGACCCACTTAACCCACATATTATCTTCCTTGTTAGCTATGTTCCATACGTACCTAACCATTGCTGCTTCATTCCATATGATATAGTCAGTTATCCCTAATCCTCCTTGCATCTTTGGTCAACACACCATGTCCTAGGCCGCTAATGGCATTTTGGTAGAATTTCATTTCACCTCCCAAAGAAAACTCCTACATATAGCTGTTATGTTTCTCAGTACCTTCTTAGGGATAATGAATATAGAGGCCCAATAGGTATGTACCTGCATTAGAACCGCACTCACCAGTAACACCCTACCTACCAGCAAAGGATAGGTGTTTAGTACCCCATGTTCTTACTTTTATTGCTAGTTTGTCCACTAGCATTTCACAATTTGTGGCTGATAGCTTCTTAGAAGAAATTAGCACACCAAGATATCTAAAAGGCAGTGTTCCTTGCTGATACCCTGTTAGCTCACAGATATCCTGGAGGCATTGTGTCTCTATATTTTCCATATAGATATTCGACTTGGCTGCATTTGTGTTCAATCCAGATACTTGTGAGAATGTTTTGAGCCCACTGAGGATCAGTTCCACTAATTTCCATTCTCCTTTTCAAAAGAACAGAACATCGTCTGCAAAGCACAGATGGTTCAACTTGATGCCTCTACATTATGTATGATATTGGAATCCTTTTTGGTTAGTTATCCACTTCATAATTCTAGATAGATATTCCATACAAATCACAAATAGCAGAGGGGATATTGGATCTCTCTGTCTAAGGCCACGCCTGCCTTTAATGCTACCAAATACCCCTCCATTTACAGTTATAGTGTACTGAGTGAATGTGATACAAGTCGTAATCCATCTAATGAACCTTTGAGAGAAATTAAGAGCATGCAACATCTCTTCAACAAATCCCCACTCCACAGTGTCATATGCCTTATGAAGATCAACTTTTATTAAGCAACTCCTAGTAGTATTCTTCCGTTTGTATAATCTCACCAGGTCTTGATAGATTAAAATATTGTGTACTATACTTCTACCAGCAATAAAAGCACTTTGGTTGTCAGAAATTATCTCAAGAAGAACCTTCTTTAATCTATTGCATAACATCTTCGATATTACTTTGTATATTATGTTGCAACAGGCAATTGGCTTATAGTCACCCACTGCATCAGCATGTGTACTCTTGGAAACTAGTTTTATCACTGTGTTGTTTACTATTCTGAGCATTCTTCCTATTCTAAAGAATTTCATAATCCCATTTATCACATCATTACCCACAATGTCCTAGTTGTCTTTGTAAAATTGGCTACCAAACCCATCTGGCCCTAGGGCCTTGTCCCCTGAGATAGCCCACAATGCTTTCTTCACTTTTGCAGCTGTGAATTCTACCTCTAACCCATTCCTTTGCTCCTCATTAACTGAGGACCTTGCTTAACCAAGTAGCTATTTACACGAGCCCTGTCTTCCTGGTTCGTTCCCAGTAAGTCAGTATAAAACTCTATGAATGCTTCAGGTATCTTCATTGCGTCACTTCATTCCTCCCCATACATATCCTTGATATGGAATATTTTGTTTCTATTCCTCCTAGCTTACAGCATTCAATGATAGAACTTTGTGTTTTGATCCCCTAGTGTGAGCCATTGAACCTTAGCCATTTGTTGCAAGAACAGGTCTCTGGCTTTCTTCCATTTACTGAATCTGTCTTAATTGATTTCTTGGAGAGTACTCTTGATCTTATGCGATTTTCCCATTAACTGATACATATGTGTGCCCTGTGTACTAGTCTTCCACCCTTCCTTTATCCTTGCTTTGAAGTCAGTAGCCATACTCCACATGTTGAAGTATTTGAATCTTCTGCTGCCCTTTTGTACTCCCCCCCCCAGCTGATAATACCAGGGGAATGACCATACAACTTTGGACTCATATAGTGAACCTCATATGCATGCAGCCTTAACAGCCAATCATAGTTGACAAGTACTCTATCAACTCTACTCATGGCTCTATTATCACCTGACTGTTTATTGCTACATGTATAGTATGCTCCTGAGGATCTCAGATCTTGCATAAAGCATTCCTCCACACACTTTTTGAATTCCTTGATCTCTGCCATGGTAACTGGCTTCCTAATCTTTCCTCTCTATTCAGAATACAGTTGAAGTCTCCCATTAGTGCCCACAAACCTTTCACCATTTGATGTATGCCCTTGATATCTCACCAGAGTTGCCTCCTCATACTCTGATCATTGAATCCATATATTACTAGTTGTTCAGTAATATTTACTATATTAACATCATAAACCAATGGTTTCCAAACAATCCATATTTTTCTACCTGGGTGTTGTGCCGGGTTTGTATTAAAGGACCAACCATTGCAAAGATTAAGAGAAGCTTGTTGTGCCTTGCCCCTCTTAATCTTAGTTTCCAAGAGACTAAATAAACCAACTTTTTGGTTGTTCATAAGCAGATTCATTTCCTTTTGCTTATGTGGTTTATTCAATCCTCTGGCATTCCAAAATCCAATTCTATCAATTTGGGAAGGGGTTGTCCCCATCCCTCCCTTTTCCTAGGGTCATCTCATCCCTTTTTCCTGTTTGACTCTTATCCCCTGCCATAGTTCCCCTCTTTGTAGCATCATCTTCTTGTTGGTGATCTCCCAAGGTTGTAAAGGAGTTCATTGTTCTAATAGTGATACCCTTCTATACTACTTCCCCTGCTTTCCCAAGCCTTGGATTGCTGACCTGATATCTCTCATGCCTGACACCAGAGGTTGTTGCCTTTTCCTGGTTACACCCTTGTCCTGTATTTCCATTATTTCTTTGTATGCCCACTCATTGTCTTTGGCCCTATCCACCCTCCCTCTGTGGAGCTTCAATATGATTTTACCCTTGTTTTTTCATCATGGTTTCATTATGTCCTCCATAATGATCTTCAAATTGAGATTGTCGGGTTCCTGAAGGGTGAGGTCCAACCCCTCTATAATTGGGCTTGCTACAATTTTGCTTCATGATTTAGGGCTTACCTCAATATTTTTCACTGCATTCCCCCGTTCCATTGTCTGATCATCATCTTCAACCATATCAGTCCATGATTTTCGTTTCTCTATCTGCTTTCCATCACCGTCTCTGTTGTTTATCGACCAAATCCCTAACCCTCCACCATCGGTGGTTGATTGACTGAGATCCTGTGGTGGTATTCCTTGAAAGACATTGACACTTCGAGATTTTTTAGCATAAGATGTTTGTAAAATTCCTCTTGCTCTGCTCATGTTACTTGGATTACCTCCTGCGTATGCTGCCCTCTACCCAGTCTTTGACTTCCTCGTCATATTCAACAATGGCTAAGAGGAGACCTCATTCTAGAGAGAGAAAAGCCCGTAGAACCTTTATTTCACTTGAGAATGAAAGAAATCTTTAATTTAGACAATTTTTAAAGGCCAAAAGAAGTTCGTGAAAGTATTTAAAAAGTTTGTAATTTGGCCAAACATATTTGGATATCAAAATGGGACCAAACGTATCAAAATTTGTAATAGTAGTACCAGATGGCAGATATTCAAGTACTACAAAATACAAGTAAATATCAATAAACAACGTTCATAAATTTTGCAACTATTCTTGTAAATGCATGTTAGTAGGGGAATCTTTGGCCAAGGCCTTCATATTATGTTAAGTGATCCATTAGGATATCCTAGGTGATACGATCCTGGATAGAAGAAGCATAACATATTACGGATGATCTTGAATATCTAGTGAACTGTTATGTTGATTTATTCAAACCAATATGAACGCGTAATTCGCAAGCCATGGACCACCATATATGATTTTGAATTGGAGTGATTCAGGGAAGGTTTGAACCATAAAATTATGACTTTGTTCCACACCTGGAATGAGTTGAATAGTTTGAAGAGGAATTTAAATGTGGGATAAGATAATATTTTGTGGCAAAGAGGAGATTGGAAAAGAGCAAGGGAGAAATCTCCGTTATCTGAGCATGGTCAGCTTGACCTAGTAGGAGATCCAACTTGTTGTGTTATCTGAGTGTGGCTAGCTTGACAACATAGGACCTCCAAGCATGTTGCGCAATTTGAGTGCTATTTGAGTGTTGTCACATGATTGTATTCAAAAAGATAGTTTGATTCTTGGGCTACTTTTGATTTCTAGACCTTCCACTACAAGAAAAAATAAATTACCAATGAATAGGGGACCTCGAAGTTTTTGCATATTGAGATATTAGTAAACCTCTTTTGAGATGAATTAGACTTCTTGGTTCGAGTTTGACTCATGATTGCATGTTTTCAAGAATTGAGATTTTTTAGGAAAATCTTCTGTTTGTTTCTTTATATCGTGAGTTATGTTTTGTTGTTCTTTGGAGGCAATCAAGTTAGTATATCGACTGTTGCGTAAAACATTCATCTAAATTTCTAGATTTCTTCTTTGTTTGACTATTACATTTATTCTCGATTATTTTATTAATTCTATCTTTAAGTTTGCTTTCTAATATTGATATTTAATATTTCGTTTCCGTTTGTAGCTCGCATGGTGTCACCGGGGCATTTATCAAGGCGAGGAAAGAGATATTCAATCCACGAATTATTTAAAAAAGAATTAAAGAATTATAACTCGAGCATCTCGTATTATTAATTTATGTTTATATATTTCTTGATATAACACTAACTGTTTGAAGGGTCAAACATCCTTTTGTTTGACCACATCCTTTTAATCTATGTTACTGTATTGGTAAAAAAAGTCTTGACATGTGAACAGATCAATAACCAATATGTTGCAAATATTGCCTAGTGAGTTCCATCAAACTCGAAGGTCAACTAAGGAAGTAAATTCCAAGTTCTCTAAATCGATATCAAACAATGTTAATCCAAAAGTAACCATCCCGAGTCTCCGGAAAATGATCGAATATCCAAAAAGACTACGAATATCTGGATAAGGTGTATCTCCAGATAAATTATCAAGTGCCCGGAAGCAACTATTCGGAGTCTCTGAATAAGAAGACCGATATACTTATAGTTTTTGAGAAATTCGAGGGTAAGTTTTAATTCAGTAATTACAAAATTTAGTATTACTCAGAAGTTATAAATCTTTTAAGACATAATGGAAGGGCCAAATAAATGCTCGTTAAATAGGTCTGATTAAATAAATGCGCTACTAGAGTTTAATCCCATAATTTCATAAATCTCGAATTGTCTATATCATGATCAGATAATGTTATCTAGGAAGTCATCACTTAGAGTCTCTGAAAAGTCAAGTGCCCAAAAAGTCTGCATTAATTCCTTGGCAGGTACAAATTATTCAAGTTGGCTAATTAATGTTCGTAATGAACAAGCGCAATTCTAGGGAATAGTTACACTTACTTTGTGCTATAAATATTTTCAATTCGTCATGTTTGTATCCCAACTCATATTCATATATTCATACAAGATACAAGTAGCTAATCATTTCTACTAATCTGTACTATTCATCAATCTTGTTCGACAACTCCTTCCCATTATGGATCATTGAATAAGAATTATTTCCTTTTAACTTTATTATCAATTCATTGCTCAATTCTATTTTTTATCTCATTAGTCTACTCATTTAGGGATTGAATTAATTTCTTGAGGGTTTATAATTATAAATTTAATTATTTTATCCTTAAACCAGTTTTTAGGTTAAACAGTTTGATGTCTACTGTAGGCCCCCAGAAATCCTACTGTTCATCCAAAAATTTCTACTAATTGTCTTTGATTACTACTAATATACAAAATCACTATGTATGGGGAAATACTACATAATGTTGTTAACGAGCAAGTAGGAGAGACATCCACTAACCAAAATTTGAATGATGGAAATCAACTGCCTCGTTAAATTCCTCGAAATTCACTCCCGAATCATTCCAGGGAACCATCAGCTCGAAGGATTGAGCACGGTGAAGCATAAAAAATTCAGTAAGAACTGGCATAATTTATGGCTCAATAGAGGTCTTGAAATCAATAAATCCACGAGGCTATTCTATCCTTGACTATGAATGCATGTGCACATTTACCGATAGTACCGATAATGGATTTGCCAATTCTGGTTGCGACACCCCGAGGTTCTAGTATTGGGAAACTCTCAAATAATTTCGGAGCCAGAGGTTCAAGTACAACGGACAACTCAGACTTGTAAAATTTAGTTCTAACTTTCCAAAAATAGCTCACAAATCAAGGTGAACATATGGAGCAAATTCCAAAATTTTCACATGTGGTCAAAGGATCGATACAGATAAATATTCTCAACAACCGCAAAAATTGAGTGCTTCCCCATTGTCGATTCCGAAGAAATTAAAAATATCGGACATTACAAAGTATAGTAGGATATTATATCCATGGGCTTACATCGTAGTATATACAACCAGAGCCAAAGGAAATAACCTAAAACAATTGGAGATCGAGCCAGTGATAGTGAAGAAATTCGAAGAAACAATTACAAAAGGAGCATTAACCTCGTATTCTCTCCTTCTCAAATATTCAATTAACTCTTTTGTTGAGCTTGCAG